TGAATTTATTCGTTCTATCTCAAGTCTAAGACCTTGCATCTCCAATCACACAAGAGCAATAACAATACTTTCATTCGAAATTTTGCCTTAAATATTTATGTTCCGATCTATTAGGCTTACTCTATTATTAAAGTATATATTAAGTCATTTTTCGTTAACCAAATAATTCATTATAATTTCAATGAATTGCACATTTTTTCAAATTTATATATAATAAAATTCATTACAATTTCAATGACTTGCACATTTTTTCAAATTTTTATATAATAAAATTAATTATAATTTCAATGAATTGCACATTTTTTCAAATTTTTATATAATAAAATTCATTACAATTTCAATGAATTGCACATTTTTTTCATTTTTTTATAATATTTCATTGATGGATGGATTGTTCATGCGAACGGGATCAAGATAGATCCATTTTTGTAGAAAATAGTTTTGTTACGTGTAATTCTTAAAAGCTTACGTAACAATAACAAATTGATTTTACCTAAATGTCGTTTGGCTAAAGTTAGTAATTCGTTTTATGGAAAGTGCGTAAGGTTTTACAATAAAATACCAGAGTCTGTTATAAATCTGCCAGAAAAAACATTTAAATGTCAAATAAAACACTTCCTTTGCAATAAGCTTACTATAAAATTGAAGAATTGGTTAACGATAATAATGTTTTTATAGAAAAACTTTAAATCCATAGCACTGACAACATTATCTGATTACATTAATAATGAGTGCGTAGCGATTTCTATGTTGATTATCGCATACCTCTTACTTGTTATACTGTAATTATTTATATAAAAAAAACATCTATTAAAAAGAGCAATACACAAGTTTCTTGCTCGTTCTTCTTGTGATGAATCTGCATTCCGAATGAGTGGTAGAATCAAAATATGACTATTCAAAAGTGCTTGTAATGAGTTTATTTGAATAAAGATTATTTCTATTTCTAAGAACTTGCTGAAAGAAACTCTTAATAGTGTTAAACCTTAAATAACCTAAAATAAAACAATATAATATAATAACTGAAATATTTTATTAAAGGGATTATTATTAAATTTAATTAACACTTGACGTGTGTATGTTCAGTCTGTCAAGTTTGTAACTTAAATGTTTGTATCTCATTACGAGACGTGAGATCTCCTCATGCAGCATCTCATAGTTGTAACAGTTCTTGATAACAATAACAATAGTTTCTGTGATAACGTTAGATAGTTCTGTTGAGTGAAAATCGACGGTAAATGCAACAAGCATTTGGAATTATTATGTAATAATAAGTAGCTGTCACGGCAAGAGTTGTTTTGCTATGTAAATTAATTTCTCAATAATAAAATAGGGGTGGATGGTAGAAGCGTACAAATTTGGGGTTGTATGTATTTTTTAATGTCACATTATAAACAAAAATTGTACAAAAAGTAATTAAAATGTTAGGGATGGACAACCCTTACCACTTATTAAAAATAGAGGCAATCGTTGTTGTATAAATTAAAATCCCTATTAAAAATAGGGGTTGATGGTAGAAGTCTGAAAATTATAAAAAAAATTATGCAAAAAGTAAATAAAATATTAGGGGTGCATAACCCTTATCACTTAGGGGTATTTGAAATAGATAGAAGCCGATTCTCAGACTTACTGAATATGCATATAAAATTTCATAGAAATCGGTCAAGCCGTTTCGTAGGAGTATGGTAACTAACATTGTGACACAAGAATTTTAAAAGCTATCTCTGAACAATTCACTTAATCTAGTCCCAATCTAAGCATAGCTTGTGTATCTTTTTTTAAAGTATATAGTTTTTATTTTTTATTTATACAGTTTTTTTTAATAAGTTAAGCTGTCGATCAGACAATGGAATGGTGCACCCGCCTGGGCTAACTGTTTATGCTGGCGGGGCACCAGTGGAGGATGATAGGATGAGCATGAGATCAGGTCAGTTAGCCCATTCTGAAAAATCACCCGGAATTTATCACGATGGTAACCAGGGGAGACCGCGTGGTGGTCAACCTGACATGTATATTGGTTGCAATGGAGTCATTAGTCCACGTTGTTAACGCCATCTATCAGACTCATAAGGAATCAAAGGCGTCATCAATGTGAAGTGGAACACGGATTGCCTCCCTCGACAGGACTGGCAACAACTTCACTCGGCGCTTCGAATTTTGTCTTGTCATTATAAACTTTTACTTGTTATGCTACTATGTAAAGATTAAACTATTAAAACTAAATACGTATTACTATCAAAGGATTTTATTCGTAATAACAAACAAGAAACTAAAATATACAGAGGGAAAGGCGCAAACATAATGGTCTTCGCAGCCGGATTATCGAAGAAATAAAGAATCAACAAGAAAAACGGTCAGAGCCATCATCCCTTTGTGTCACTCGTCCTAAACGAAATTTGTGTTAACAGTGTTGAACTTTATAATATAGTTGTATTCTATTGTGCATTATTGGATTTAAGTTTAATTTTATTGGAAATTTAAATCGTAAGTACCTACCTGCACTTGATTTCTTTAAGCCATTAAAATGAGTGATGACGAATTTAGAGACGTTACTTCAATTGATATAAACAAACTTATTGAACTGAAAAAACTAAGAGCTACTGTAAAAGGTAGATTAACATTATTCGAAAAATATATCAATAAATTCAAATCTGTTATTTTAACAAAAATGCAAATAACAGAAATAAACTTACGAATGCAAACTATTGCGCAGTGTTTTAACAATTATTGTGATATTCAAAATCAAATAGATGTTCTAGTAGAAAAAAGAATTGGACAATCAATTAGAATATAGAGAGTTGATCGAGGAACAGTACTATAGTAATATTGCCGCGGCGAAATGTTTGATAGAAACAGATGAAGCTACTGATTCCAAATGTTCGCACTCTTCGAAATCCGTAGCTGTGAAGCTTCCAAACATACGGCTGGCCTGCTTCGACGGGTCTTACGATCAGTGGCTAGAATTTAGAAATTCATATATAACCATGATCCATAAACGCACTGATCTTGACGCTATTCAAAAATTACACTATTTAAAATCTTCTCTTAGTGGTTGTGCGTTACAAGTAATTAGTGCGTTAGAATTCACTGCATCCAATTATAATCATGCTTGGGAACTATTAGAAAACAGGTTTCATAATAACCGCCTCCTTGTTTATAACCACGTGAGATCATTGTTCACAGCTCCGGCAGTTATAAAAGAATCATCACAACAGATTAGAAAATTAATTGATACGATTTTGCGTAATTTGCGCGCTCTCCAATCCTTGGGCGAACCAACAGATTCGTGGGACACCCTAATTATTTATTTAGTCCTGACTAAAGTAGACTCAGGTACGGAAAGAGAATGGGAGAATCATAAGGGGTCGATTTCTAGTGATCCTAACAATAAATTAAAATTAGATGATTTATTAAACTTTTTAAGAAATAAAGCCGACATGTTGGAAGTTACACTTTTGAATCATAAAGTACAATCGAATAAAATAGTTCACGAACGTAAATCTGTTCAGGATTTTAAAAGGTCTTCGAATCAATCACAGTTAACACATAGCTACATTACAACGCGATCGAATAACAACAGTAAGTTTAATAAACCTATTGATAGACGAATACGTAATTGTATTATGTGTAACGGAAACCACGCCCTTTATACTTGTATTTCCTTTTTAAATTTATCTGTAAACGAGAGGATAAATTTAATTAATGATAAAAAGTTATGTCGAAATTGTTTGCGCGGCGGGCATACCATAAACGAATGTATGTTTGGTCCGTGTAAACAATGTCAACGAAAACACAACAGTTTAATTCATACGGATAATGAGATGGACACGGGCACATCAGCTGATCGTGCGCATTATTCACAATCGGCTGATAACCTGCACGGTACATCGACTGCACTTCATTCTCAAATTAATAATACAGACGATTTAAATGCGACTTTGTTTACAATGCAACAAGTTCTATTATGCACTGCACTAGTTGATATAGTCGATAATAAAAACAGATGTTTTACAATACGTGCTCTTTTAGATAATGGAAGTCAACACTCTTTCATTTCTAGCGAATTATTTAAACGATTAAATATAAAATCTATACAGTCCACTATACGAATTTCGGGTGTAGGACAATCACTCACTCAGTCGAATGAAAGATGTGAGATTAATATACGATCAAAAACCTGTGATTATAGTACGCGGGTTCAGTGCATGGTTCTGCCATGCATTACGTCGATTATACCTTCAAAGCCAGTAGATTATAAGTTATTACGTATCCCGGATAATATTCATCTTGCGGATCCATCCTTTAATGAACCGTCCGTGATTGATTTATTAATCGGTGCAGATGTATTCTGGGATATGTTATACGAAAGTAGAATTCGCTTACCGAGTGGACCGTTCCTACAGAACTCTAAATTAGGGTGGTTGATTTCAGGTCCAGTCGGTAGCGACTATCCGCGTAAGAATAATCAGATTCAGTGTAATTTAACACAAACAATAGATTCAAATTTAAAACGATTTTGGGAACTAGAAGAAATAACTAGTAGAAATGAAATACATACTGAAGACGAACACGCATGCGAATACTTATATGAAACCACAACAAAACGGGACATAGATGGTAGATTTTTAGTGCGAATTCCCTTACGGAAATCAGCTGATCATCTTGGTGAATCGTATTCTTTCGCTAAATCCCGTTTCTTATCGTTGGAACGCAAGTTACATCGATTACCGTTCTATAAAAAATTGTATTGTGATTTTATACGCGAGTATATTGAACTGGGGCATATGACGAGGGTAAATGAATATAATAAACCATATTATTTTCTACCTCATCACGGAGTTCTACGTGAACACAGTACGACAACTAAGTTACGTGTTGTTTTTGACGCTAGTGCTGTGACCACGTCAAACTTGTCATTGAACGATATTCAGTACGTCGGACCGCCTCTACAAAAATGACATCTTTTCAATATTATTACGTTTCAGGCAGTACAAGTTCGTAGCTTGCGCTGATGTCGAGAAAATGTTCCGACAAATATTTATACAGACTGATCAAAGAAATCTACAGCTTATTGTTTGGAGAGAGAAACCATCGGATCCACTCTGTGTTTATCGGCTGAATACGGTTACATATGGAACGGCGTCAGCACCATACTTAAGCATGCGTTGTCTAAGGCAATTAGCAAAGGATTGTAGTGATGATAACATTGCTAAAATCATAAATGAGGATTTCTATGTTGATGATCTCATTACAGGTCATGACGATAAACAAATTTTGTTGGAGGTGTGCAGTAAAATATCACAAGTACTGTTATCGGGATGTTTTCCATTGCGTAAATGGACATTTAATCACGATCTAGAGATTGTTACTTCTAAAGAATTGGGTATTGGAGATCATCAACAAACAAAAACTCTCGGTATAGGTTGGTACAACACTAGCGACGAACTACATTTCACCACCGCGGTGACCAATGTACACACAATAACGAAACGAACTATTTTATCTGTTTTATCGCAAATTTACGATCCACTCGGTCTTGTGACACCTGTCACGATAATTGCAAAAATTTTGATGCAAAAATTATGGTTATGTAAAATTAACTGGGATGATGCTGTTCCAGAACCCATTAAATTAAATTGGTTACATTTCCTTAATACATTAAAAAAATTACATGATTTACGAATTCCGCGTTATGTGCTGAATGAAAACAGCGACGTAAAGGAATTACATATTTTCACCGACGCATCTCAGAGTGCATACGGCGCTTGCGCCTATATTCGTAGTTACAATAATGATTACAATTCGTCAGTAACAGTTAAACTACTGTGTGCTAAAAGTAAGGTATCGCCGATTAAGCCTGTCACAATTCCGAGATTGGAATTATGCGGCGCCTTGTTAGGAGCCAGATTATATACGAAAATTACATCTTCAATGAGGTTTCAATTCAATAAAGTGTATTTTTGGACGGACTCGACTATAGTTATGGGGTGGATCCGTATGTCACCTCATTTATTAAAAACATTTGTGCAACACCGCGTGACCGAAATAAATGAGTTAACTGGTGATTCAATTTGGTTACATGTTAATAGTAAGGACAACCCGGCCGATCTTGTGTCTAGGGGTGTTTACCTCGATATGCTTATCGACTGTACGCTATGGTGGAGGGGTCCTTTGTTTTTACAAGACCGGCAGTTTGACTTTAAAATCGATCATAGTACGTATGATTCAGTTTTGTTGCCGGAAGTAAAAAATCAAATCATATGTGCTTCTTCCAGCATATCCAATAGTTTAATCGACTTCTTGCGATTCTCCTCACTTAAACGATTAAAACGAAGTAGTGCCTACGTAATACGTTTCATAACCAACGCCCGCTCGTCTAAGTCCCTACGTAAAACAGGCTCATTATCCGTTAACGAGTTGGACGCAGCGACAAATATGTTAGTTCGGTTTGCACAATCGGAATCGTTTGCAAATGAATATGATAATCTATTGAAACAATTACCGATCAAGGGGAAAGGTGTTTCAAATAAAGTTTCCGGTCTTAATATATTTTTAGATAAAAATGACATAATCAGAATTGGTGGTAGATTGACCAACTCACACTATTTCGATTATAATAAAAAACATCCAATATTACTATCTAGTAAACATTACTTTAGCACGCTTTTATTTAGAGATGAACATAAACGGTTGTTCCATGCAGGACCCCAATTACTTTTATCTACAATCCGTGAAAATTGGTGGCCTCTCGCTGGTAGAAACTTAGCTAGAAAGATAGTTCGGCAATGTGTTACATGTACGCGCATGAAGGGGAAAACAATCACACCGATAATGGGTAACTTACCCGCCGAGCGTTTAGAACCAGGGTACCCTTTTATACGTTGCGGTGTGGATTATGCCGGACCGGTGATGATACTGAGCCGTAAGGGTAGGGGTGCTTCTCTGGTGAAGGGTTATATCTGCGTTTTCGTATGTTTTACTACTCGAGCTCTGCATTTGGAATTAGTATCTAGTCTTTCTACAAACGATTATTTACTGGCTTTAAAACGTTTCATCTCTCGCCGCGGCAAGCCCGTAGAGATATTTAGTGACAATGGTGGGGCCTTTGTAGGTTCTCAAAAGGACTTATCATTGTTTTTAAATGAAAATGTTAAAGAAATCGAAGATTTTGCCACCAATAATGGCATTAAATTACGTTTTATTCCACCGTACGCTCCTCATTTCGGCGGTTTATGGGAATCAGGGGTCCGATCATGCAAATATCATCTCAGACGAGTTGTAGGGAATTGTAATTTGACCTTTGAAGAGTTCACTACTGTCTTAACACAAATTGAAGCTATACTCAATTCTCGTCCTTTATATCCATTATCCTCCGATCCAAACGATTTCCTCCCCTTGACTCCTTCGCATTTCCTCATTGGTCGGCTTCTGACCGCGCCTCCATGCAAGGATCTGACGTCTACTCCAACACATCGTTTGATACGATATGATCGCATAGAACAAATGAGGCAACACTTTTGGCAACGCTGGTCTAAGGAGTACGTGGCGGAACTTCAAACAAGAACGAAGTGGAAATTGCAACAACCAGACATTCGTCTAAATACATTAGTACTTATTAAAGAAGAGAATCTACCACCACTAAAATGGCGACTGGGTAGAATTACACGTACCTTCCCGGGCAAAGACGGAATATGCAGAGTGGCAGAAATACTCACAGCAACTGGTATCATTCATCGTGCCACTTCTAAGATATGTCCGCTTCTACCTCAAGGCACAGAAACGAATTAAAGGAAGGAAAACCTCAATTATAGCATATGTTGAAAGTCTATACATTCCATTAGCTTTCAAAGGCGGGGCCATGTTAACGCCATCTATCAGACTCATAAGGAATCAAAGGCGTCATCAATGTGAAGTGGAACACGGATTGCCTCCCTCGACAGGACTGGCAACAACTTCACTCGGCGCTTCGAATTTTGTCTTGTCATTATAAACTTTTACGTGTTATGCTACTATGTAAAGATTAAACTATTAAAACTAAATACGTATTACTATCAAAGGATTTTATTCGTAATAACAAACAAGAAACTAAAATATACAGAGGGAAAGGCGCAAACACACGTTAGTACCTCCCTTCCTCCCAGCAGACCTTGTGTTATGGGTACTAGACAACTGATATACTTACTTTTTTAGTGAAACAGTTTTTCCACCACCCTATAAAATTCGGTAATCAGACTTTTTTATGCACGAGTATCTATCAGAACTGTTTTATAATAAAACCGATTTTGATGATTACTCTTTCACAGTACTTCATATTTATGCCCACAATTATGTATATGAACTGTTTTTAAGATGAACCGTTTACTCTAAAGTATCCTTACAATTCCACTACCTTATCTCAACATTAACAGGACACAGTTTACAAAGCAAGAGTGGTGTTGGAACCCCATGATAGAGTACTCACGCAAAAGACTTTGTTCAAACTTTATCTCTGTATGTAAATAATTAACTATGATAATTCAGACAGCGCCATCTAGTTCCAAGCTAAGCAGAGCTTCTATTTGGGCATTTGACAACTGATGGAATTACTCATGACGATCTCGGTAGTCTAGCGGTTTAGTAGACCGCCTCACTTCCGATCGCGGGTTCGATTCCTCGCACGGCACAGACATTTGTATTCATGAGTAATTGTTTGTAGCGGTCTGAGTGTTTTCTATGTATAATATGTATTTACAAAAAAGATCTATGTATTCGTATCAGTTGTCTAGTACCCATAACACAAGTTTTAGTCAGCTTAGGTCTAGGAGGCGCTGTCTTAATTGTTTGGGAAAGTTACAAAGTTTTGAGTTGATTATTATATTGTTACATTGTACGACGAATCGAACCAGCGATCATAAGAAGCAATGCGGTGCGCTAAACCGCTAGACCACCGCGGTCGTCGAAAACATAAAAGACGTCCCATATTTCGACAAATAAATTCTCATTCATTTGATTCTTTACAAATATTCTCATTAATGTATTAGATCAGAGGTTCCCAAAGTTCTTTGTGTCGTAGACGCCTTGCCATATTTTTCGGTTTTTGATACACTGGGGGTGAATAGTGGGTTCTTACCTGGTATTGATTTTTTGTAAATTTCTAACTGTAGTAAAGTTTAGTGTTAAAAACATAAAGTAAAAACAACAAGATGACCACTGTTATAGACTTGCAGTTTGTCATAGACCCCTGGGGGTCGCTATAGGCCACTTTGGGAATCACTGTAGATAAATCCGCTTATATCAAGCAGAGGTTACACGTGCTCCAAATTTTAATAATAGTCTTTATATAAATGTTTCTATTTACCAGTATGATGAAAGGACGTCTACAGATATGTTTACTCGATTCGTTGAGTATCACATATTGTATACAACATTAATTTGTGCCCTATTTAGCAATAGAATAGGGTACAAATAATCTTTATTCAAATAAACTTAATAAAAGCAATTTTGAATAGTCATATTTTTTATTCTACCGCTCATTCGGAACGCAGACGTATCACAAGATGAATAAGCATAAAACTTGCGTGTGGCTCTTTTAAATAAATGTTGTTCTACGTAAATACACATTAACAAGGATTAGGCATGCGATAATTGACATAGACTCCGCTGGGTAGTAAATTTTTGGAACTTAGAGTCACAAGTAAACAGGCATGGATAATTTCAAAATCTTATTTGTTACGAGTATATACGACCTATTTATTAATTTGTGAATGCTATAGATGTAATTAATAGTTCATTTATATTTGTAGAATGTAATTGTTTGGCTGAAAGGAGATTTCCAGGGCCGTAAAATACTTAATAAAAAAAAATAGTTTAGCTGTCAAATACTGATTGACATTATTGTAAAATTTATTATAAGAAAAGACAATACAATTCTTCTTCTTAAATATATATATATATTTAAGAAGAAGAATTGTATTATATATATATAATGGTCTATGCGTCTATTATAGACGATTTATGGCGTAAAGTTCCGTGAACATCATTTTTCGTGGCTGTATAAACCGATACGAGAACGGCATGGCCTACCACAGGCTGTAAACGTACATACATACACATTAGTAAACATATCACCTCAACACAAAAGAACCCCACCACAAGATTATTATTAATATTCATCGTCAACTGCTTCTTCCAGTCTAAAAGTTAAACACTTACCATCATCTGGGACAATGGCTTCAAGTTGATATTGAATTCCAATAGAATTCTAAACTAAATATAATTTATCATCTGCTTCTTCTTTATCCCATTTATTTGTGGTCGGCATAATATATTTTTCTCTTCCTTCATCCCTGTTCGCTGTCATCTCGTTATTTACTTCCTTTATTACTATATTATCTTTCACATAGTCCATCCATCTCTTTTTCGGCCTTCCTCTGGCCTTATAACCATCCACATTCATATTTAACACCTTTCTTAATATGTTATCTTCATTTCTACGCATTACATGTACATACAATTATTACTATTATATTATTACTTACATTACTATTATTACCATTATTAATATTATAAGCGTGAAAGTTTGTAAGTATGGATGGATGTTTGTTACTCTTTCACGCAAAAACTACTAAACGGATTTTGATGAATCTCTACAGTAATATAGCTTATACATCAGAATAACATATAGGCTATAAATTTCAGGCGGATGAAACCGAGGGCACAGCTTTTATATAATGTAAATTCTGATAAGCAGTTGTTAGGAAACATATTTATATAACACTCAAAATCATAACCATCCTTTTTGCATCACGAAATAACCCTATTTTTTGCATCGAAGTAATCAAATTCTGATAAGGTACAAGGAGAATATATGTAGCAGTAAAATCATAACCCAACCATAAACTTTCTGCTGCGTGCTGCTACACCGACCACGACAATGTACCTGTCCCGTCTACATTACGCCACTAAGGAGCAGGACATTGTCGATTATATTCGTACCAAGAGTAACCTGACATTGAGGGTGACGCAGCTGAAGTCGAGTCACAACGCGAGTTTCAAAGCGTTTGTGGCCCTGGTCTCCACCGACTTGCTGCCCACCTTCATGAAAGAGGACTACTGGCCGAAAGGTGTGGTATATCGGCGCTACCGTGGCAGATTGCCGTCTTCAGTGCCGTGATCACACAGACAATATCATTGTATTAGTTTTTAAATATTATATTATATGTATGTTAGTCTATAAGGTATTTATAATATGGGCCTAGTTGCCTGAAATAAATGAATAAATAAATAAACCAAATTTAGGCAGTCCTATTGTCGAGGCTGCTTCGAAGCTGAGGAAACTTTCGTTACGAGTGTACGTGTAAAGGCAGATAACCTATTTTGACCCTATAATCGAAACGTGGCTTAAAACTAAGCTACTTAAAAAGTAGGCTGAATTGTGTGAAACTGTGGTACCCATGCCGATGACCTTTTACAGTCTCTTCTGATTTATGATATACATATATTTACACTTCTGTTCACTTCGAAGCACGAGCAATGGAAACTGTCATGTTAGTATGGTTAATTTCTTTTGGACATCTTAAATGCTGTTGGCCGCATCTGGCCTTTACAGCTTCACCGGACGATAGAGGGCGAGTGCAGATACGGGTAACACTCCAAACCCTCGGCAGGACTTATGGAGCGGTAAAGACCAACTCCCGCCTGACGATTTTAGTTTGAGGGCACCACTAGGGGTATGAACCTCGGCTCAAGCCATCGTAATATAGATCCTTTTTGAATTGGCCGGATATCGATCGGAGGGGTATGGGGATACAGTTAGAAATAATAATTGCATTTAATAATGTCTAGTAAGACCAATCCAATATTGTCTACTAAGCACTGCTGTGTCTAAACTGTGTCAGCCCACCTTACATTTTCCTATTGTTATTTAGTATATAAGATCAATATTTCTATGTACATATTGTCAGTCTATTATCATCTGTAATATACATCGTCTCTTTCAACTACATCGTATTATTCACCCGCAACAGTGGTGACCCCGACGTGATCAAGACGATATCTGGGAAAACGACGAGATCAAACAAGAGATCTCTGTCTGACGGCATCCTGCGCACCACCGATTAACCCGCAACAGGGGGTATGATTTATTGAAACAAATACCTCTGTAACTAATATTTTTATTTACATATTCACATATAAGTAATTTGTAACATTGAAATAAGTATAATATAACTTACATTAGTACAAATATCCTGACTAAATATTAATGTCTATCACAACATTCAGTTTCTTATGCGAGTTTAATTGAAATGGAGCGCGCGCGCATGTCTGCGCGCGATCATAACGAAGGCAATAGGGAGGCGCACGCGCACAAGACGATCAGAGCAGCGCTGCACGCAGCGGTCACACCTGCAGGAAAAAACAAATCTTATATATAAAATTCTCGCGTCACAGTGTTTGTAACAAAATTCCTCTGATGCGGATTAATGGATTCTTATGAAATTTTAAGTATAGTACGTTAATAATTTTTCGTACCACCTAAGTGGTAAGGTTAGTCCGCGAGATCTTTGTTGTTGAAATCCTTTTTTTAATTAGGCATTAATAATATTTATATTCTACTATCAGCCCGATTATATAATCATTATTCATCATCATTTCAGTCAATAGATATAGATCTATACACTGTTGAATTTAAGACTTTACCAAAATTTTAATTGTCAATAACCTATATAGCGCAATCTGGTTGCAAATTAACATTGTTCATTTCCAAAATTCTATTATCATCATCACCTCATCCAGTATTTATGCATTGGTGGCTTTCGGTAAATAGGCCTTCCCAATAAATTCCACCAAGATCCTACACTTCAAACGTTTTTAAGTTTATAATACTTACACAAATTCTAAATAGTACTAAATGTATAAGACCCAGGTAATGAATCAACAACTTCGGAATATGAGGCAGTCTATATCGCTGCATCATCAAGACCTTTCATAAAGTAACACAGTACGTCATACTTAAAAAAAAACAATATGTCATACAAATTTATACCTGAGGAATCTTCTCCGGTGACGGAAGCTGGAAGAGGAGCATCCTCTTTAATGTACAGAAGCTCGCTTTTCCTTGCATAGATGTTATAAATTGTCGCAACACAGCTTAACGAGAACTGGCCACTTGCCGGAGGCACAACGGTGTACCTGATGAATAGATAGATAGATACAACACACTCACAAGGTAAGGTACAGTAATACAAAGAAAAAGATGCAAAATACACAACTAAGTTGGTCAGTTAGCAATATACAATATAGGTCAAATTACGTGTAAGTAATGTGTTGCGTGGTCGATATGCAAAAAACTGTACATTTGCTTGAGCAGCAAAGTATTGCCCAGGGAACTAAACAAGGATGCATGTAACAACACTTAAGGTTTGTGAGCGAAATTATAAGGTCCTCTAGAATGGCAAAATTTTACGCCTCTCTTTTGTGACAACCTTGGCATACTCATGATATATCTGACGTTTAGCACCATTCTATCAGACAGATCATCAGATTGTGTACCAGTCCAATCAATAGTCTCGGTCGTCTAACGGTTTTGCGGCGTTTGCGTGTTCAATTCCTCGCACGGTACAAACATTTGTCTTTAGTATGATTGTTTGTTTCAATCTGGGTGTTTTCTATGTATATTATGTATGTATTTACAAATAATTTTTTTCTAAGTCTTTATATCAGTTGTATAGTTGATAGCGTTGTGTGAATTGTCCTGAGATTATTATCATTATTATATATATAATATACATACAAAACACCCAGAGCGATATAAACAATCATACTCATGAACACAAATGTTTGTACCGTGCTAGAAATCAACTACCTGCGACCATTGGAAATAAAACAGTGTGTTTAATTAACCATTAGATTAGTGTTATTATTATTGTTAATATATCCAATTACAAAAAAACCTTCGCAACATTACCTCAACAATTCCCGATCTTCTTTATTCATATCTTTATCGTAGATATAATGATCGTGGTATACTTTGTTCAGGTTGGAGCTAGTGTAGGTGATGCCCATCCGATAGTGCTCTGCTTCCAGTATTGTGATCTCGAGTTGACTAAATGCAGCGCGTTCCTTGAAGTCTATATCGGAAACTCGCCAAGAAATTGTTTCGGCAACCTGCGAAAATACAATAGATTTATTATCCTATTGTTTAAACCTTTACTAATAAAGGATGACGAATATATAATAACGGACTATAGAACTAATATATTGAATAATTGGAATTAGATTATGATTTAGAATAATATTAATTCTAATGACGACATTACACGCGTACATACTTTTAGTATGTACGCGTGCAGTGTCGTCATTGGCGTAAGACAAAATAAAAATTGGCAATGCCTAGTGCATGCGGATAGTGCTGTTTGATTATGCTCGAACAGTAGATAAAGATGAAATATGAATATACAATAGATTTATTATCCTATTGTTTAAACCTTTACTAATAAAGGATGACGAATATATAATAACGGACTTTAGAACTGATATATTGAATAATTGGAATTAGATTATGATTTAGAATAATATTAATTCTAATGTAAATGTAATAATATGTACGCGTGCAGTGTCGTCATTGGCGCAAGACGAAATAAAAATTAGCAAAGGCTGCCGGTAGTGCTGTTTGATAATGCTCGAACAGTATAAAGCTGAATGGTTTATTTGAATATACCGGTTAGATGAAATTTGAAAATTTATATTTACATTTTATTATAGACACTGTTCGATTCGATACGTTCTTGCCAGAACGGTCGTGTACGGCGGTACTATGTAGTGGGGTAAAATGCTATTCGCCATTTATCTGTATTATGGTACCAGCTACAGCTGCTTTGACTCGGTTGGTCCATGGCATGGGTCAAATATTTTTCATTAGTTTATTTAAATAACAATATAAGAATCCTATAACAAGAAATCCAAATCGGCACCATCATGTATATCTAATTCAAAATATACCTAATTTTCATAAACTTAATTTTAATAATGTCGAAGTTGTATGTACATTTTATCATGTTATCTTTCAACTATTTCGTATCATCATATCTATCCATGGAGGTATATTTTCCCAACAATTTGCATACAGTGAATACCTATGGATGGATGTATATTACAGAGAAAATTTGTTATTATAGATCCAAATTTTAGACATATTCATTTAGGGATTGCTCTGTTTGACGAATTAATTATATGAAAATTACTATCATCATCCAAAAATTTCTATTTGTCAGTTTTCAGAAAATTCTACCAACATTCTATTTAGTTCATTTGCAGAAGGAATAAAAACAACAGTACTGATGACGATTTGAGTTTCTTCACCCACTGTTCCATATTTTGTACACAAACAAAGAACAACAAAGTTATATCGTCTCGCTAATGAACAAAAATCCATGAATAATGGTGTATTGTTTTCAACTTCGCTCGGCGGTACAATGACTTCTTTGGAAGAAAACTTTTCTGCAGCGAATACTTTTTTCGCGAAAATCAGTGAGAGTTGTTTGTAAGAGAATTTCAAACTTATTACCTACTATATAACATTACCGAGGTAGAAAATCTACCTGTACAGAATTGTCTGGGTGGGCAGTTTTATTAGGTCTACTTCTACCGTGACAAAATTATTGTTATTTTTGTTATTATTTAAATTACGTATTTTTGCAAAGAAGCTGACCGTCCATCACCACTAAAATGGTAAGTGGTAATCGTCACCGATATACATGAATAGCACCACGGACGTGACGTCATTGGACGCTTGTCGGCTACCGCGTATTGCCACAATTGAGGATTACAGTATTCTTGTAATTTCACTACCTTATGTCACAATTATGTAGTGAAATTACAAGATTGTATAATTCTGCACCTGCCCACTCTCTGATAGGGGGACGGAGATGGTTAGTAATGTGGACTAAAAACCCCATTGCTAGCAATGTGGCATACTAAGTTGATCTCCACGCGGTTCATCCTGGAAATCATCGCGGTAAATTGCCATTTGCCAACTGGCCTGACATACAATCGATAGCGCAGGCTGGTGTATCATTCCATTATCATCTATAAAGATTGCCTAATACTTCTCATGCGGGGGGAAGGGAATGTTAGTAATGTGGACTCATGACCCCATTACTAGCAATGTACGTTTTTGTTACATGTCACGTTGACCTTCACGCAGTTCCCTATGGAAACCATCGTGATAAATTCCTGGCGAATTTGTCACGATGGGCTAACTGATCTGACCTCATGTTTATCTTATCATCTTCCACTGGTGCCCCGCCAGCGTAAACCGTCAGCGCAGGCGGGTGCACCATTCCATTATCTTCCATAAAAAAAAATATTTCTGCATTACCATTCTGGAGGACTAAGATATCATGCCTCTTATCCTGTAATTTAACTATCTCACTTCTTACATGCAATATAGTTTAGAAAGCAAACTGCTTGGCGACTGAATTAGAGGTAATCCATACCATGTACATCATTCATAGCTACTATAGTCGTATCATATTTTAAAACAATATCATCCAGTACCTTATGATCATCAATAATCCAAGTGATGTTCGGGGCTGGGTATGCCTCATCTATTGAGCAGTTTGCACGCAGCACATCTCCTCTTGCATAACTATCCCGCGAGATGGATATATGAGGGGCTCGGAATGGCGGGTCTGTGGAGATGAAATAAATTATTCATTTGTTCAAAATTCTTTATTCAGGTAACATAATTTTGCGTAACTATCTCGCGAGATGGATAAATGCAACGCTCGGAATGGCGGCAGCAAAATTCAGAATTCTTTATTCGGTTACACAATTTTTACTTCTAATATAAGAAATTCTTGTGTCGGGGTGTTTGTTACCACATTTCTCTGAAAGACTTTACTATCTAACATTTACTTTTGTGCCCCTCAATGATAAGGGTGATCCACCCCAAAATATTTTTTGTTATTTTTTTTTATTTTAATGTCAATGGTTAAAATCTCCTACATGAATAAATGATTTTTGACTTGATTTGATTAAGTACACGTTTCCAGTTCAAATATTCATCCAGTTCCACTCCCAAAGAAATATTATATTTACTTGAAATTGTCTTGTCTTTTGTATTTAATTTTGTAATTTATTAAAATCTTCACAGTAACGTCGCTATTGTATCGATATTATTTTATTTATTTATATATATGTGTGTATATATCTTGTATATACTATGTAGTTATATGTACGTCTATATAATATGTAATTTCTATTAATTTAATAAGACTTCCTATAACTAATTGTATGCCTCGACCAGACACAATGTAATCACTTCCATCCTGAGGTTGCCTGGAAAAAATCGCTATTTAGCAACAAGGCCGCCCATTGTTACCTCTATATTGTAATTATGTTATTTTTTTTATATTTCATATACATATCTTATATCTAAAATTCTCGTGTCACAATGTTAGTTACCGTACTCCTCTGAAAGGGCTTGACCGATTTTTATGAAATTTTATATACGTATTCAGTAGGTCTGAGAATCGGCTAATACCTATTTTTCATACCTCTATATTAAATAATAACATACAAACCTAAATTTTCACCCTTCTACCATCAACCCCTAATTTTTAATAGCGATTTTAATTTATATGGCAAAACAACGTCAGCTAGCTAATTTATATAATTGTTATTTCTTTCTGTAAAACGAATAATAAAGAGTTTTTCATTCATTCATTATAATTGGTCGGTTAAATAGAAAAATGTCAGTATTCAAAATGTAAATTTTTTACAAGACGAGCACTTAATGTTTTTTTTTATAAAATTTTTTTTCTTTAAAGTTTTAAATTTACACAGAAGTACTATATAGAATTTTAAAAGTATTTAGATAATGATTAAGACGGCGTGGTTAATTTAACTGACTTATATAAAAGGAGGCAATTCTAGCTTCTAATTTTGAAAAATGTCATTCTTCTATTTAATCGATGAATTGTCATATAATTATTTTGCTTTTAGTGTTAGATATATCAACTCTATGTACTAGTAAAAGTATGTATTATAATAAAATAACAACTATATGACATTAATTTAACTATGTCTCTAACACAATTTACTTTAGCAAGTAAAATACAACCAGCACATCCTGTGCACAAAGACCGAATGCCGCGGCTTTTTTTTTTTCGGACTACTCTAATGCTGTTGGCCGTAGCTGGCCTTTACAGCTTCACCGGACGTTATGGGGCGAGTGCAGATGGCACTCCAAACCCGCGGAAGGATTTATGGAGCGGCTGAAGGCCATCTCCTGCCTGACGGATACGACTTTAGTCTGAGGGCACCACTAGGGGTTATCCCCGTTTGAATTGGACGGGGGATCTATCGGAGGGGCGCCCGGGGGCGCCGGTGTGGAGCGCACGGGCGCGCGCAGGCGCCCGGTTGAATGCGCGATATTGAGTGTTTGAGGTCGTCGTCTTCGCCGGCGAGGACGGTGTCGTGTGTGTGTGTAAAAGTGTGGTCGGGGTCTGCCGCGGCTTACAAAAACCCTCCCTTTTATACAGAGAAGATATGAGTGGGGGTTATATGCAACTAGTTTAACGATACCGAGTAATAATGAAACTACCTTCTTTTAATATAAAATATTAGATTTTTCGACAATATCGATGTGAATCCTAACATTAGTTTAATTGCAATGAACTTATTGATATTGTTCCATTTAGGGAACATAAATCACAATTTGTTATATATTAATTGTCTATTATTAATGTGTTCTATATTATTAATTAATAATGTCGGCTCTAGACGAGGAATGTCATTATAATCCACGGTGTCTTAATTAACGTATGTACAATGTAAACTGAGGCGGTGTGACGTTACACGCGGAGTCTGCCGCGTGACTCTGTTATCTCTTGTTGCTATGGCAATGTTGATATCTTCGGGGTTTGATTATGACAATAATAATACTAGACAACTCATCTATACATATAAATCAACTCAGTTATACATCTATATATATATATATATATATATAAATTGGATTTTGGAGTTGGAAATTGGAGTGTCTGTTCTTAATATTGAAATAATCGTTTTTTACTACATGCATATGAATATAAATACATACACCAAAATAACATTTTTTATAATTTTTGTCTCTCTGTCTGTTTGTTCCGGCTAATCTCTGAAATGGCTGGACCGATTTTGATGGGACTTCTATTTTCAGATAGCTGATGTAATAAGGAGTAAGTTAGGCTACTTTTATTTTAGAAAAAATCTTTTATTTCAGATAAATAAAATTTAATTCCACGTGGACAAAGTCGCGGGTACAGCAAGTCGTAAATAAAAATTTTATCTATCTATCTATCTACATATTGGATTAGCTGTTAGATTTCTCATAAATAAATAGATATATTAATATTCTGTTTAAACTTTAAACGAATATTCATTACAGCTTTCTTTATAGGTACCTGCGTGAAAACTGCCAGGTGTTTTGTATTGTCGTTTTATTACTTGTTGTATTGTCGTTTTATTACTTGTTGTATTGTAGTTACACACACAAAGTTTGCAGACTATTACAGTAATTTCAACCCTATTGTTATCAATTTAGGGGATGCTATCGTGAACTTGGTGTTCTCTTGTCTCTATTAAAGAGAAAGTTGGTATTTTCTTTTGTTTATAAAACTGTAATATTTTAAATTTAACAATTATGAAATTATATCTCATAATTAAATGTTGTTTTATATGTCCAATTGTGTTTATATATTACTACATGTTTCCCGCGTTTTTGTTAGTTTTTAAGAGATATAGACAGATGACAACAAGAAATAAAGATAGAGCAAATTTTTACATTATTTCTAATTGGCTACTCGCCCTGGCTTCACCCGGGTGTACATGTATTATACATATAAACCTTCCTCTAGAATCACTCTTTCTATTAAAAAGAACCACTTTAAAATCCGTTGCGTAATTTTAAAGATTTAAGCATACATACGGACAATCAGCGACAGCGACTTTGTTATATACTATTTAATAAAAATGTAATGTAAAAATTTAAAAAACGAAGCATTTTATCTATATACTAGCTACTCGACCCGGCTTCGCACGGGTGTACATGTTTATATATATATAAACCTTCTTCTTGAATCACTCTATCTACTAAAACCGCTTCAAAATCCGTTGCGTAATTTTAAATATTTAAACATACATAGGGACAGACAGCGACAGCGACTTTGTGCAAAACTCCTGTCGGGGTTTGTCAGCAGGCTCTCTCTTATACTCTCTACTCACTATATAGTTACTATGTAGTAATAATAGTACATAATGTAAAAATTTGAAAAACGAAGCTTTTTATCTATGTATATCTATATAGTCTAGATAGATAGATAAAAAACTTAAGATATGATGGTAATGGCGGTACTTACCAACGACGGTGAGCGGCGCTGATCGTATGTCGGTGTGGAAGAGAGGCGCGTCAGCTGACACCTCGCACTGGTAGTCACCACTGAGGCGACGGTTCATGTTCACTATTCTTACTTGGTTGCGATCTGATTGCGCCAACTATTAGAACAGCATATATAAATATAATATATATATATACACGAAAAGAACAAAACACTGCGTAAAAAGTCGGATAATCATAATTACATGTCACGAAATGGACATAAATTAGAATTACCAAGATTACGACTTGCAAAAACAATAAAACAAGGTATTTACTTAAAAATAAAAATGTACAATAAACTATCTAATAAAACAATGCAATTAACATCAACAGAATTTAAGAACAAAATAAAATCATATTTCGAGCAACATCCTTTTTACAATGTGACTGAATATCTGAATTCCAATGTAAAATTATAACATTTTCTATTAAGTGACTTTTATTACTTTTATGTTATATATTATTTAATTTATTATTTTGAATACTTAAAATTGTAATTGTGACATAATTATCTTAAAAATGTAATTACTATTGACATGCTGTTGTGTAACGAGATTTGTTACATTTGTGAATAAAATAATATAATAATAATAATATACATATACATTGTAAATAAACTGGCTTTTAAAAAAAATACGATAACAAAAAAACTTCATAAGTTGATAGAACTTTAATACTAAATACTTTTATAATAATTTAATGAATAATGAATGCATAAATGACGAGCGTGCATGGCAATACTTGTTCATGTACGGGTTTTTCATTTAATGTTAGACATAGACAACTATATAAATATACATTGTAAATAAAACATAATTAAAAAAAAAAGTAATTCAATTTTCTTGCCAGTTCTTCTCAATTGGATCTATATACTGAACTGGACGGTAGGGAAAAATATGATGAAACTAGATATTGCATATTATAATAATGATAAATTTATTATTATACAAATTGTTTATGAAAATAATTTAAGATATGTATATACATATATACATAAACAATTTATGATCATATAAGTCTGGAAACTGAACTAGGTATAGAGCCTGTATCTCAGTAGACCAGACCTCACCTCTCGGTTGTAATAATTATTATTTATATATTTTAAAAATTTGTAGAAAACGCTACGGTTGCAAAACCAGCGCCGCACAGGTGCATCCTGTCTGCATAGAGCTGAACCGGGGTCCTTTTGCTGCCTTTAATTAAGAATAGAATAGAATAGAAAATCATTTATTCAAATAAACTTAATTTGAGCAATTTCGAATAGTCAATTTTTTTTTTAAATCTACCGCTTATTCGGCTCATCACAAGAAGAATAAGCAAGAAACTTGTGTGTTGCTCTTTTAAATAATCCTTGTAAGTTCACATTTTACAAGTCGAAACGTGTGAATACAAACTACCAACCAGCACTTATTTATTTAGGCTCAAATATAAAAACACATTAAGATTAAATCAGTCGTAGTGATAAGAGCAGACCAGTCCCTACAAGCAGCACTCGTTCACGAGTATGACGGATGAGCCAGTCATCACTGCGCTCGATCATATTGTAGGAAGCCCAATGACCTTAAGTATCCTTTAAATGTATTTCTATCGTGTAATTTAATTGGCAGCAATAAATTCTTATTCTTATAATCAATCATCATTAAAAATAATACTTACATCAACTGACGCTCCAGGCAGTGGAAAAACCATGGACGGTGGCATCTCTCTCGGGACATATCTGTAGAACTCTGTCTCAGATTTGTACCATCGTATTGAATACAACGGGGCACCTTCCAAATCGTAGGAACATTCCAGAACGGCGGACTGACCCTCGCCGGAGAGGACTGCTCGGGGTACCGAGATGGACAGATTGCGCAGTGACCACACCCCGCCTGGAACAATAAAACGGATTTAAAGAAATAGAAATGATTTTTATTCAAATAAACTTATTATTCGACCACTCATTCGGCGGTACTTCACTGCGGACCAGAGACTTCTCTTATATAAGTTACAGGTTCGGCTGCACATGGAGTACTGCTCTCATCTTTGGGCGGGAGCACCTGAATACCAGCTCGGTCCTTTTGACTCGGTTCAGAGACGTGCTATGAGAAATGTCGATGATCCCAATCTCTCTGGTGGTATCGAGCCACTCAGCTTGAGGCTAGACTTCGCCTCGCTTTGTGTGTTCTGCCGATTATACAACGAACTGTGTTCTGAGGAATTGTTCGACATGATGCCGACAGCCACCTTTTACCACCGCACCGCTCGCCATCGACAGGGAATTCATCCCCACACACTGGAACCTAAGTGGTCCGAACAGTGCGGTTTCAGAGGAGTTTCCTCCCGCGTACACTTAGATTGTGGAATGAACTTCCTGCCGAGGTTTTCCCACGAGACTACAGCATGGGGTTTTTTAAGAAGGGTATATTAAGGTTTCTTAAGGGTCGGCAACACGCAAGTGATACCCCTGGTGTTTCAGGCGTTCATAGGCTACGGTAACCATTTACCATCAAATGGGCCGTATGCTTGATTGCCACCATCGTAGTATAAAAAAAAATGCAGATTTATCACAAGATGAATGAGCAAGAAACTTGTATGTTGTTCTTTTGAATAGATGTTTTTTTTATATGTATAAATAATTACAGTATAACAAGTAAGAGGCATGCGATAATCAACATAGAAGTCGCTACGTACATTATTAGTGTAATCAGATAATATTGTCAGGGCTATGGTTTTTAAGTTAGAGATTAGGTAATATAGCTGAAATATAGTGAAATAATGAGTTTCATTGCAAATAGAAATATATATAATCTTTATTCAAATAAACTTAATATAAGCACTTTTGAATAGTCATATTTTTATTCTACCGCTCATTCGGAATGCAGACTCATCACATGAAGAATGAGCAAGAAACTTGTGTGTTGCTCTTTCAAGTAAGTATTGTTTAAATTAAACCTACATTGAAGAGGATTAAAATAAAAACGCAGTAAATAATTAGTACGTTAATATAAGACTGAAATATGATATCACAATTAGAAGGATAGTAAAAATAAATCCTGTTATAAACTCAAAATCAAAACTTTTCAGCTCGTTCTAATATTTCAAAAGAAAATCAAACTGGGACCTTTTAACTTTGAAACAAGTATAGAATATCCTTTGTCCTTAAAAGAAGTTTAAATGAAAATAATATTCTCTTATAATGTGTATTGATAAAAATATAAATATATATATAGAATGACAACAATACAGAAAAGCATATATATATATATATATAAACACCTCTTTGGGCACTTTGTTGATCACGCCACAACCTACACACTTGCTGATTCCACCTTTTGCACTGAATAACTTGACTCCTATCGCGTATATCTCAGGCGGTATGGCAACGTCGCATTCTATTTTGCGATGCGGCCATATATATTCGTCGATAGTACGATATACTCGACACTTTTTTTACTAATAATTCGTGACTGAATGGCTCCGAACGGCTAAATTTTTGGTATACACAAAGACTTTTTGGCTCTGAATATATTCCAAAAATCAATTAATTATGTTGATCACTTTATATACTCGTCCTTACTGCGATACTTATTTTCATCCGAATATATATAGATACCGTAACGGTCTATCAATTATGAATTTACTAATCTAGATATTTTATATTCGCAATGCTCCATACATGCAAGCTCTAGCAACGGTGGAGGCAGGGGGGAGCACCGTACACCGCACCCCGCGCACACAAACAAATTAGAATAAATTAAATTCATAAGATTATTTATATATTTCGACTGCCTCGGTGGTCACACCGCTTTACATCCGATGGTCACGGGTTCGATTTCTCGCACGGTGCAAACATTTGTACTCATCGGTCATCGATTGTTTTCATCGGTCTGGGTGTTTTATATGTATATTATATATGTATTTACAAAATAAAAATATCTATTTATATCAGTTCAGTATCCGTCTGTGTTAATTGTCCAGGGCTATTTATTATATTTTTATAAACGGTTATCTTTTTCCATCGCACCGCTCGCTATCGACAGTGAATTCATAGAAATGTCACTCTAAAAACAAAAATAGTTTTGTGTTTTGTATTTCAAATACTAAATGCAAAATAGGTATTTTCAAAATACTTTTTCAAAATAAAGTACCTTTTGAATTTTTGTCCAAACCTCAGATATTTTATTTATTTTAGGTATATCAATCATTACATAGTGTAGTATAAAACAAAGTCGCTGGCGCATCTAACAGTACATAAACAAAGAAAGAAGACTTTTTGGCTCTGATACCGTAACGGACTATCAATTATGAATTTATTATACCTAATCTAGATATTTTATATTCGCAATGCTACGTACATTGTAATATGCGCCTCCATTCATTGTAACGGTGGAGGGACTAAATAGTTGAATAAAACTGAATAAGCAGTTGCTCCACTCTATAGGTATGCGTCGTCGTCGTATGCTGTTCATTTTTTCACTCGTTTTGGCGCCAAGAGAGGGTCACATAGTCGTGGTCAAGTTAAGAACTTATAATTTAATTTTAATGACAATAGATACAAGTAAAAAGTAGGTATTATATTAATGTACGTAAGTACTGTACTTAAAAATATTTATTCTTTATTGTACATTTGAAAAACTTAACACTTAAGGACTTGTACATATACACGTACATACTGCTATTTTCTCTTAAAGACATCCAGAGAAGCACTATTTATCAAATACGCGGGGTGCACCGACCTTTGACCTTATAACACCTGATTCGCGCGTAACGAATTACATTGCTACTTACATTACTATTTTATAGTGGATATTTCACTATAAAATATTATTATTTCTTTAGATTATGACATAATAGCATAGTTTACATGATTTTAAGTGAAACATACGATAAAAAAAATTCCCGTAAAATGTAAAAGATAAAAAATGGTTATTGTTGGTTATCCTTGAGAGATAGACATATACCATCACGGACTTTTTTGTTGACCTTATTTTGATACATCTCAAAGCACTAGACAATACGCATTTTCATTAAACAGTATTGTATTTTTTTTATTTATTTAACTTTAATGCACAAAAAAATTTGTACATGTGGCGGACTTAATATCTTGCCGCGTTATTTACCAGGCAACCATGAGTGGTGCAGCGAAAGATTATTGGCGGTGCACTAATATAAATAAGAAATGTCAAAAAAAGATATATAAATACAAAGCAAAATATACATTTCTATAAAAAAATAACAATATACATACATAAATATATAACCCATAAATGTATAAATAAACACATAATGATCCGATAATCAAATTATAAGTACAGTCTCAAATTGAAAGTAAGAAAAACATATAGAGAGAACTATAGGGATATAACAGAAAGATGTGAAAAAAGGAGAAGGACAGTAAAAAAGTTACAAATTTAAATAATGTTCCCGCAATTTCTGTTTACATGAATTTATTACATTATTATATATATTAGGCATACGACTAGCCTTATGACTGTTACTTTTTTTTTAATCTATACATCTATACATGTAAATAAAATTGGAGTGTCTGTTTGTAATATTGAAATAACCGTTTTTTACTACTTGCATATGAATATAAATACGGTACATACACCAAAATAACATATTTTACAAGTTTTGTCTGTCTGTCTGTCTGTTTGTTCCGGCTAATCTCTGAAATAGCTGGACCGATTTTGACGGGACTTTTTTTGGCAAGTAGCTGATGTAATAAGGAGTAACTTACGCTACTGTTATTTTAGAAAAATAAAATAAATTTTCACGCGGACGAAGTCGCTTTGGCCAGCTAGTCTATAGATATACCGAGATTTAATATTTAAGTTGCTATTATGTTGTTGACAAAATTTTACTGTAATGTTACTATTACGTTATCCTACACAATTTGTATTATTTTGGATGAATAAATAAATAAATAAATAATAATCTATACATCTATACATATAAGTAAAATTGGAGTGTCTGTTTGTAATATTGAAAAAACCGTTTTTTTACTACATGCATATGAATACATATAAGGTACATATACCAAAATAACAATTTTTATAATTTTTGTCTGTCTGTCTGTCGGTCTGTTTGTTCCGGCTAATCTCTGAAATGGCTCGACCGATTTTGACGGTACTTTTTTTGGCAGGTAGCTGATTTATAAGGAGTAACTTAGGCTACTTTTATTTTAGAAAAATAAAGTTAAATTCCACGCGGACGAAGTCGCGGGAACAGCTTGTTTTTAATAAAAACGGTTTATTTGATAGAAAAAACATCTTTTTTGTGGCACTTGAGAATGTTGAAGCCTGTTGTTTGTAATATTGAAATAACCGTTTTTTACTACTTGCATATGAATATAAATACGGTACATACACCAAAATAACATATTTTACAATTTTTGTCCGTCTGTCTGTTTGTTCCGGCTAATCTCTGAAATGGCTGGGCCGATTTTGACGGGACTTTTTTTGGCAGGTAGCTGATGTAATAGGGTACTTACTCTAGTAACTTAGGCTACTTTTATTTTAGAAAAATAAAGTTAAAAACCACGTGGACGAAGTCGCGGGAACAGCTAGTGTATAATATATTAGAGATACCTACGTGTTTTTTTATTGATGACTAGCTTACACGGGATTTCGTCCGTATGAATTTAACTTTATTTTTCTAAAATATAAAAGTTAAATTCCACGCGGACGAAGTAATGTACAGCTAGTTGTCGGTATCTAGCGATTTTAGCACACTGCTTAATGATTCCTGCTTGGTGGTCGAGGGTTCGTTTCCTCGCACGCTGCAAACATTTGTATTCATGAGTAGGATTGTTTGTAACGGTCTGGGTGTTTTCTATGTATAGATAATATATATGTATTTACGAAAAAAATCTTTGTATTTATATCAG